CGTCACTGCTGTAGCAGATCCGGCATTGGTCTTTCCCTTTTTCCTCCTCGTTGTCCTGTAATGGCTCCTCTAACATCCTACAGGTAGCAGGAGATGATATATCACATTAGACAATATGTCTTAATGGGAACCTGTTATGTTTGACTCCACATACTCTCATACATATACTGTTATATATGGTGGAATCTCATTTTAACAAGGGCCAGCGTTTTGAATATTTAAATCAGTATAGTTTAAACTGCTCTGAATGCTGCTAACAGATAAAGTCCATAAACAGCAGCCAAAAAACCTGTTCAAAAGCAGGGGCAAAGAGGTTAAAATGTCCTGTTTTACACATGGGATGAACTAAAGGGGCTCCAACAAGGTCCAGTATAAGATTTAAAGAAATATTTCGAATCATTAAAAGCTTCTCTAGTGGTGGAGCTGAAAAAGTTCTCTAAATTTCCAGTTAAGTAACGGCTAATCAGTGTATTCCAAAGACAGACATATTAACAATTGTAACATCCTGCAAGATTATCTAAAATTTGGTTGTAGATCACCTAATGTGTTTGTAAAAGTAATTCACCTCTTTTTGAATCTGGATAACATCTGTCCATCGCAGTCTTTTGGAGATGGGGACACTTCAGCAGCAGCAGCCCCTTGGCACTCTTGATTCTGTGGAAGCGCTTCACTTTCACCAGCTGTCATCATAATGGAGGTTTTAGAGGTATATGAACCTCTTCTTTTAATACTAGACCGCAGTGTGTTGGCATTGCTGGCTCTATTCTGAAAAGCGCCATCCTCCATGTTGCCCACACAGGTCTGCCTTTGAGAGAGGCCTGAGCTGAGTAAGGAGGGAGGACATTGCTTTGTCCCCTGCGTACAAGCTGAAAAGCCCGTGTTGACTTTGCCAGGTGGTGTCGGCATCACATGAGGTGACCTTCTTTGTTTTAGGAGAGGAGTGACACTGCATCCGTCACTGCTAAGAGGAGCTCCACTCGGGACTGCTGACATACTTAACTGTGACCTGAAAGACTGCCGTCTAAGCGGGCTGTGAGAGCAGCCAGCAGAGACTGAACTTGACTGACGTGCTGTTTTCGAAAAGGTGATCGAATCACTCTCTCTACGTGTGTGCTGCCAGGAGTCTGTTAAGCTGCCATCTGCCTCCACCTCAGCACTGGAGGGGAGCTCAAACTCTGCGATTTGCCCGTAGCTTGTTCTGTTGAAAAGGTGGTTCATATTGTTCCTGCTCTTCAGGATGTCTTGGCTTTGTATTTGTTTACACGCTTCCCTGTGGGTAGATCCATTTAATACAGCATCTTTCACAAGCTTAGACCTGTGCTTGATGTGATACGGGACATTGTGTGCTATATTATGGTGAGAAAGGAAAATAAATTAAACATATTGGTTTGGAATGAAAACATTTTGGATATCAAATAACAACTAATATTATAAAATAAATAAATAAAACACAGGGTAGTTAGAAAACCGGTCCAGGTCCTGCTACAACCTGCAGCACAAAATGCATTCTAGAAAACTTACATCTGGATGCCAGTGGGGGCTTTCCACAGTGGGGCATTTTTGAAGTCACTGCCAGCTCTGCACTCATGCTCTGGGATACGCTGGAAAAAGCTTGACGGCGGGACACTGAGGCTTTGTTCAGAGGGTTCTCTGGCTCAGATGAAGCACACTTCCCAAAGCTGTGGGGGGCCAACTACAGGTGGCAAACAGAGAGGTTGCTGGAGAGTGAGACTTTTGGAAAGCTGAGCTACTCAAGAGGGATATCGGATGTTCCTGTTTTGAAAATGTTCTTACCTTCGGGGCTTCCCTTGCAGCTGACACTGAGTGCAATTGTGTGAAAATATTCTGCACGCCCGAAATATTTGCTTTCGTCTCCTGACTCCATCTTTGATAAAAATTCTGATAAAACAGATTCAATACAGTGGATGAGAAGGAAGGATATACAGCATGTCCGTATGAGTTCTTGTGTCGTGTACATCAAACTGTACCATGCTCTCAATCTGTAAATGTTTCCACCAAGAGGGCAGCATTACTCACAACGTGTTGACCCTGCAACACAAAGGCAATGAAATAGAAATAGCATAAAAGCCAGTCTGAACATTTAAAGATAAGATAAGATAAAACTTTATTAATCCCTCGG